ATAAAAGAGAAATATTTTTGAAAGATAGGTTTTTTGTTTTGTTCATAAGATAAGCTGTGGCTACTGTTGAACGGTCACTTTTTTAAATTAAATATTCTTGGAAAAAATCCAATAAGAAGAAAGAGTTTTATATTACTACAGCATTTATACAAATCAAATAATCCATTTCATCACTTTTTTTAAATCACCGAATGTTGGTTAAAATATAATCTAAATTCTGCCAATCATTATCAAAATAATCAGCATTTTTAGTTATAGTAAAATTGCCTAATTCAGATATCACACAAATAAATATTCGACATTAATGATTGGTAGTTATTTGATATATTACAAGGTATAATAATACAATTTGTCACATTTAAAATGCTGAAAGTTAGCCAAAATATAATCTAATTCTACTGATCATTACCAAAAAATCAACATTTTTAATAAATAGAAAATCAGCTATCAATCAGCATTTATGTTAAAAATTGGTCAAAATATAGCTTAAATCAGCTTAACAATCAGCAAAAATCAATTAAGATATTAAAATTAATAAAACTCATTTTTGTTTATTTATGATTTATAATTTTATTTTATTATTACATAATAAATTACTCAAAAAGAATATATATTATTATATTTTATTCAAAAAAGATATATTTGATTTTTTAAAGATAAGAAAAAATAAAGAAAACAGTACAGTTAGTAAATCCACTAAAAATCATTTCTGAAAGGCTAACCTTGATGTATTCCTAAAAAAAGTAAAGAAAAAATAAAGAAGACAATTAGAAAACATATTAAAAACCACTTCTGAAAGGCTTACCTAATGTATTTCTAAAGAAAACAGTTAGAAAACCACCAAAATACCACCTCCGAAAGGCTTACCTTAATGTATTCCTAAAAAAAGTAAAGAAATAATAAAGAAAACAGTTAGAAAACACATTAAAAATTATTTTTAAAGGGCTTACTTAATGTATTCCTAAAAAAAGTAAAGAAAAAATAAAGAAACAGTTAAAAAAAACACTAAAAAATCACCTTTGAAAGGCTTACCTTAATGTATTAAAAAGTAGAGAAAAAATAAAGAAAACAATTAAAAATCCATCACAATACCACTTCTGAAAGGCTTACTTTAATGTAGTCCTAAAAAAAAAATAAAGAAAATATAAAGAAAACAGTTAGAAAACCACTTAAATACCACCTTTAAAAGGCTTACCTTAGTTTTAAAAAGAGAAATTTCCTAAAAAAAAAAAACAAGAAAAATGAGTTAAAACTATTAAAAGACACTTCTGATTTGCTTATCTTAATTTCTAAAATAAGAATTTCCTAAAAAACAAGAAAAAAGAAAGGAAAATGCCACAAAAATCACTTTTGATTTGCTTACCTTAATTCTAAAATAAGAATTTCCTAAAAAAAAAGAAAAAAGAAAGGAAAAAGTTAAATTTCTTCCCAAAATCATCTTATTGAAAAAAAAAGAAAAAAAAATTTATTCAGAATATTCTGAAAGTTAATCAGTTTTATATTGTAAACTAAACTAAATTTTTTATTTTTTTACTTATCATAAATGTTACAATTAGATGATTTTGCATCTTTTGATGTAAAAGATATAGAAAACCTTTCGAAAGGAATGATAATAAAAATCATTTGAAAGAAATGATAATTTACTTGTTTTTTAAGAATGATATAGAAAATCATTTAAAAGGAATGATAATTTGATTTTTCTTTAAGAATGATATAGAAAATCATTTGAAAGGAATGATAAATTGATCATTTCTTAAGAACGATAACAAAAATCGTTCTAAAGGAACGATTATGTATCATTTCAATAGAACAATATAAAATATCATTCTAAAGGAATGATAAAATATCATTCTAAAAGAATGATAACAAAAATCATTTTAAAGGAATGATTATATATCATTCTGAAAAATGATAATAAAAATCATAATAAAGAAATAATAATAAAAATTGTTTTAAAGGAATGATAAAAATATCATTCTTTTCAGAATGATGATAAATTGTTCTAAAAGAACGATAAAAAAAATCATTCTTTCAGACAGAGCAATAAAATATTATTCTGAAAGAATGATAAGAAAAATTATTTCAGAACGATAATGTATCATTTTGAAAGAATGATAAAAAAAAAATTATTCTTTTAGAACGATGATGTATTGTTCCTTAAAAATGATAAAAAAACATTATTTTTTCAGAATGTTAAAGTATTGTTCCTTAAAAAAAACAATGAAAAACATTGTTTTTTCAAAACGATAATCTAATCGTTCCTTTAGAAATGATTTCTATTGTCTCTTTAGGGATAAATGTATCATTCCTTTTAAAACATTTCTTTTAGAATGATTATATTATTTTTTTTGAAACGATTTCTATCATTTCTTTTAGAATGATTGTATCATCTCTTTTGGGACGAATGTATTATTTCTTTTGAAATGATTTCTATCTTCTCTTTAGAAATGAATGTATCGTTTTTTTGAGATGATTTTTATTATCTCTTTGAAAAATGTTTTTATAATTTTCACAAAATCAGCTCAACAGATTTCAACTAGTGAGATACAGTTGATTTATTGTCAAATCTTGAGTCTAACTGAAATTTTGCTGAATATTATAACCAAAAGGTCATAATGCTAAAATAATATTAGATTATGTGTGGTATAACAAATAACTATTGATTTTTGTAACTTAAGCTGAATTTTGTCAAATCATATGACTGATTCAGCTAAATATTGACTGAAAGGTATTAGTGCTAAAAGAAATCATTTCGACTAGTGATAATACTATGATTACTGATTTGCTTCTCAAAATCAAGCTGTAAGATTAATACAATTTTTATATTAATTTATATATTAATTTAAAAAAATTTTATTAAAAATTTAAAATTTTATTTTTTTAATTTATAGAAAACGTTTAGTTTTAAAATAACAAAAATTTTTTTTGGTTCATATTTTGCTTATTAAATCAATTTAATTATTAAAGAAATTTTTAAAGAATCTTCTAATTTGATAAATATGACTGAAAAGCTATTCATATTATTATCCTGTATGTTTTAATAGCAGTTTATTTTACGACAAAATTGCTTAATGAACAAATAATTAAATATAAAAACATTTCACTTTTTTTTCAGGTATTACACGTTAGAATTCTCATTATTATTATTATTTAGTTAATTAAGAATAAATTTTGCTTTAAAGGTAATAATAATAATATTATAAAATATTATAATTTTATAAAGTATTTATCATAATTTAATTTTTTTAGATACTTATTTTGAAATTTACTTCTAGTGAATTTGAATTTCATAATAAATATATAAATGAGTTAGAGGATGATGAAATTAGAGGTTAGAACCAACCAGTTAATTTTTAACAGGTTAATTAACCGGTTAAGACGTTTATCTTGTTAACGGTTAAAGATCTTTTTTAATCGGTTAAAATAACTAATGTTAACTCTGGCCGAAATTTAATTTTCGGGAGAATTAAAATTTTTTTGCAATTACAAAATTTGCTAGTTTTGCCCAAATATATAGTGCCGGCCTGAGTTAAATTTAACCGGTTAATTAACCGGTTAAAGAAATTTTTAACCGATTATTAACCGGTTAAGGATTTTGGGCCGGTTCCAACCTCTAGATGAAATTTATCATTCTGATAAAGAAACAGAAAGAGGAAATGATAAAAATTTATCATTTGATATTTGTAAAATTATTAATAATAAAAATTGGTGAAAAGAAATTAGAAAAGCTATTACATCCTTTTTTTGAGGCATTAAAAAAATTACAAACTGAAAATAAGGTGATGTAAAAAAAAGGTGACTTCAAATTATTGCATGATTATGTAGTCTTAAGTATCAAGAACGATGAACAATGATGATGAAGATAACATTCAATACAAGCGATAAAATTCTCGAAGATGACAAATTAATGATTAAAATAGTCTTTTGAAACTATGAGGATTAGATGAGGTAATCGTTCGAATCGAACGATTAAATTCAATTCAAGAACGATGAATAAGTATCATTCTATTTGTACAATTGTTAATAAAAAATATAGCTTAGAGACAATGATTCAGTTAAAATTTCATTTTAACGATTATTTTTTAATTTCTCTTAATTTCAATGTTTTTTAGAATTTTACAATGCTTTTTTAGAGATTCACTAATTCTAACGTGTTTTACTAGATTTTAAACATAGTTGGAAATTCAATAACCATTATCCCTGAAAGGTTCTTCTGGATTATACTAAAAGATTCAAGTTATACCAAAAAAGTGAATCCACTTATTCTTCTGGTAAGATAAAAAGACGGAACAACAAGTATAATTTAAATATATTGAATAATTTTAAGGCTTAAATTAATTGCCAATTTTATGGATTACTTCAAAATATGGAACAAGTTAATCTCTTTGATCATATGTGTAATGTTGTATCAGTTTAAATTCTAATTCCTTGGTGGAATGTTTGGTAAAGTCAGTCAAAATAAAAAGTAATTAGTTCAGATTAATGATTTAAAAATAACAGTAGATGCTAATTTGGCATTTAGCTTAATGAGGGATCCAGGACAGACTTTTTTCACCAGTTTTAAACATTTGCTACTTCTATATGCACTATAATACATATCATATCATACTTCGTTAATTTGTATCAATAAGTTTTATCAGAATATTATGTAAGCATTTGTTCTTTTTTATTAACTTGAACAATTACAAGATTAAGAATAAATCATTGTAATAATTTGTCACATTATAAGCAAAGGATTTCTTTCCATATATGTCAATTTGTATGCAAGTTATTTTAAATAATTAAAGAATGTGGAGATAAAAATCATCGAGAATTTAAAAAATATTTCAAGAAAAAGGAAAAGACATGAGAATCGTGATAATGTGTGTAAAGTTAAATGTAAGAAATGTTGTTTTGTATAGCCAGCATTCTTCTAAGTCTCCACCTCTTCTACCCCTTGATTTTAATAAAAATTCAATTTCAAAGAAAAGCGCCTTTTACTGAAATCTACGGTTAGTGATTCAGATAAGATAATAAATTCCATTCCAATAAGATTTATTCCACTGAAATGTGAAATCGTTGGCAAAATTTCGTATATTATTAATTTCTACAGGAATTTTATCATTTGGTCTGATTGCAGACACACCGAATGCATTTAATACGTCCTCACTGATATAGGTAACTGGAGAACCTATATCTAAGAGGAAGTGTACAACCTTGAACTTTTTGTTGATTTTTATCATCGTTGCACAAAAAGCCAAAAGTTGACCCGTACATAATTCCATTAATATCATCATCAAATTTTTTTTAGGAGTCCGAAAGATATTCTACTCCAAGTCTTTCTGATATTCCTTCGCGAAGGTCTTTTCCACAAACATCCGTTAAAAGAATATCAAAATCTTTGGTTCATAAGTATTATCAGTATCAATCATCATTTTACGAGTGCGGACAAAATAAGAAACACGAGGAAGCAAGAATATAATTTGGAAAAATGTTTGAGACTCGCGTTATATATATAAACATATGGGATGAATCATATGATTTACTATATCTCGTGACTTGATTTTACTCCATATGTACCCTGTATATAAATTTTTGGCAGTACGACATTTTGTGAATCAAAAGCTGTCCGAAAGTAAAAATATTATCCCTCCAGGCTCCGATTAGTGATGTGAGAGCGTTTTATGATTGGGATAGATCGATTATGTTCAAATTTTCTTATCTCTTACACGTCTTTTTGATCAAATATTTTATTTAATTTTTAAGGAATAGTAAACGAAGGGAACTGGGCCTAAATTACTACTGTATTTCGAGTCATACAACTATAAATTTATTTGTATTTACGCTTTTAAAAAAATATTTATAAACTAAAGTTTATTCTGTTTTTTGAATCTCACATTTGATGCAAGTTGAGAGATTCCCAGCTTATGGTTAGTTACTTCTATAAGCAGTTCTTTATGTTTTCGGGTCAAAAAGAAAGTAAGATAAGCAGAAGTTTATGTTTAATGTATTTTTATTAAGAACTACTTAACTGCATATATTGCCTCAATCGTACGATCAGATTTTAAGTTTTCAATATCGTTACATACAAAAGGGATAATAATAACCAAATATTATCTAATCTTATTATCCAGGGAACATTTCTTTATCTAAAGCGAAATCCACCATTTCTATTTTCGAAATTCATCAAGGACTTATTTTCCAAGAGCCATTTTGGATACATGACATATTGGCCGGCATATTGGCTATGAGATAAAGGCAATTTAGCCAATGGACAAATTGGTCGTCGAGCTGCAAGAAAACAACAATCAGAACAATTATATTATTAATCATTGCAAAAATACTGTATTCAATACTTGCTACGATTAAATTAATACGATTATGAATAATATTATAAATATGTAACAACTATTTTTCAATTATTAAGTGTAGTTATAAATTATAAAATTATCTTGTAATATAATTAATAAGGTAAGGTTCTGATACATGGTTTAACCTATCATGCTTCTTTGTACCTTTATGTTTCTTTCGTACCTTTGTTTTTCATAATCTTTTACCATCAGGCTCTACCATTTCAACATTACCATATTTATTACTTTTTTTTATCATCATGCTTTTCATCATCAATAGTTAAATCTTCATCAATTATATTGGGACTTTGGATAAAATTGAGATAATGCTACGATTATTAATAATGTATCCGCTCTATTATTTTCTGGGAATTGTGTCCTAAATTTATTAGCTTTTAATTTACAAACATATAGTTAGCTTTTATAGATCAAATCAATTTCTCCCTCTCTCTCTCTCTCCCATCTCATGACTGACCATATATTATCGTATTGTATCATACGATTTTGCGGTTTCTTGCTGTGCTATGGGAACAAAAAACAATTTTTTAAAAACATGTACACACGTTCTCCGGTGATGATATGGAAGTAGACCCAGAATATAATTGACAGATTTACAATTGAAGAATCAATCTCGTCCACAAATTTAAAAGGATAAAGACAGTTTAGATTATCTTCGTTCTAGTTAATAATTTATTCTTATGTTATTCTGCAGCATATTTCTTGTACTTTTTCACCAAATCAATATAATTATTACAATCAATATTTGTCCAAATCATACGAGGCTCGTACATCAAATCCTCACGACATCTTTTAATAAACACAATGACGAATCTCATTGATAATTAAAGATGATGGTACTAATTGATCTCAGAACAGCCTTTGGTAAAATACTTACGTGTCGGTGTGTTGAGTATTACCTAACCTGGTGATTCTGATATTCTTTCTATTGTTTTTTAAAAACAAGTGAGTGGTTTCATTTCAGATATTTTTTTAAATTTTTTTTAATTCATTATTAGTATAATAAAACAAGCAAAGTAAGCTTAAAGTTGTTCCGTATTGATCATGAGTTAATGAATTTATCATTATTCGCAATGAATAAAAGCATATACAGTATATATATATACCAATTTTTTTCAATACTCAAAAAATTTTCCTTCCCGTCAATTTTTTTTTATAAAAATATGATTTGTACAAATTTATTATAACCGAAGGGTATTAATGGCAAATGAACTTAACAGGTTGGCGAGAATTTATTTTTATCCTAAACAATAGAAAATGAATGGATTTACTTATCTTCGATATTATAAGTTACGTGCAGTTGGTGTGAGTATAATATGTATCTAGCATCGTTTAAACATTTTATTAATTACTTTAATCCATGCAAGATCAGAGAATGTTTAAACACAATTACATTGAAACTCAAAAAGAGGTTTACCAAAAAAAATTTCAGAGAGTTTTGGCGGGCGATTCTATGTCTGTAAAAAAGTTTGATCTACCGTATAAGTAAATGGCCTGAGCTTCGCATCACGTGAAAACAAGAAACAAAAGATTTTTTATGACGGACGTAATACTTTTTTTGAAGTCCATGCTTTATCATTTCTTGAAGAAGTTTTAAAATTATTTAAAAAGAAATGCTTTGTTCTCATCTTTTTAGACTATTTTACGCTTATGTATGCCATGACATCATAGAAGTCAGGTGAAAACTCCATCATTGATATCGATAATTTTCTTCTCAAACATTTTAAAGACAAACATTGTTGGTCTTACTTCTTGTGTAAAATATGACTTGTACTCAAAAGGTTGCTAAATTGTATTTTATGAAATTTTGTTACTTTTGGTGAACTATATAAAAAAACTAATTAATCTAGTACACTCTGTGAGGGATTCAATAAAATCTCATAAGAAACAAGTAGACTGGAAGACTTTGAAGAAGTACTCTACATTTTCGATAATACAGTCATTCGGAGTAGAGGAAATACCTTGTATAAACCTTAGACAAGTTTATTCGTTTGTTTAATGTAACAAAAAGGTATCACTCCTACCTTGAACAATGTTCAGAAACTTATCGTAAAAACTATTGCAAACAGAAAGACAATATGTTTCTTGAAAATTGCGCCAAAGTATTCTGCTTAGATGGTCAACATTTCTTGATAAGAGTCCCTCTAATATATGTCATACTTAGGCGATTCGTTTGATTTAATTATCGATAATCGGAAAATCAAAAACCATTAGCCTGTAATACTAAGTTGTGAATTGATTCATTTCTTATTCCCCAATGTGATTCTTGCGTAAGCTCTTCCTGAGTATACTACACTAAATCGAGCAATATCAACAATCGATCTAATCAAGTTCTTATTCTGGCAAATCAGTGAAGTATAATTTTAATATGATTACAGGCTTGAACCAATTACCATTTTCGGACATTAAGTTAACAAATTTAAGACCTTCTTTGTTAAAGAAATCACGACTAATGTTCGTAAACTATTAATTTTTACAGTAATAAATTCATTTGGTCATATTATAGACAAATCAAATGAATTTGATAATCCTCACAGATATAGGTCACTGGGATACATTATATTCGAGGAAGTGTTAAACTCGATCTTTATCTTGTTCTATTGTCTTTACGCATTAGTGGCGACCGTTCATATTTCCTTTAATATCATCAAATTGTTTTGAGAGTAAGAAAGATATTCTACTCCAAGTCTTTCTGATTTTCTTCGCGAAGGTTTTTTCCGCAAATGTACGTTAACATTATGACAATTTAATTAATAAAATCTTGATCCTTGAATTAAAGTTTAAAAAGAAAATTCGATAATTTCATTTTTAATTCATAGGCCCAATCAATAAAGATTTCAACTTATTTTTTGCTGACGAATCTTTATTAAATGAGTAAGTTCTTTAGTCATAAGATTCATCGAAATTAATTTTCTTTTTATGAGTGTGAAAGAAAGAATATGATTTGAAACTTTAAACAACACGTCATAAGTTCATAGTTTTGTCATCTGTCGGTAGACTACATTTTGTAAAAAATAAATTACCGAATGCAAAAACAGGTACGGTATTTTACTATAAATTCTAATTTTAGAGTATTTATAAAACTTTATTCTGAAAATAAAGGAGACACAACACAACAATGTTAACATAAAATTATTGACTAAATGGTTCCATTTTAATATAAGGGCGGAATTAGCAAAGCGTTAATTGTAACGAACTGGTCATTAAGAATTTGAATGACTCTTATAAGTAAGTTCCTACAAATTCATTGCGATTCAGAACTAAATCATGATGTGTTACCCTTTAAATACCTTTGATTTCTATTACTGAATTTCTTGTTAAATATCTTTTTTATTGAGTTCTTAAGAGTAACTTCTCATGATGGCTATTTTTCATATCAATCGTTGATTTACCAAAATTTCACTTACTTTTATTCAATGTAAAAAATTTTTAATCTGAATTATAAATTTAAATTATCATTTAAAAATTTTTAACTTTTAACTGTCGACTCGATAAATATTTTTTTAAAAAATAATACAATTACTAATTATAATATTATTAATAAGATTTCGTTCATACTTTAACCTTTTTCTACCTTTTTCCTATGCCGCTTTTCTACTTTGATTTCATTGCCATTTTACCTGTCACTCTCTACTATTTCAACATTATTATTTTCTTCGTAACTCTTATTACTTTTTTCATCTTAGTTTTCATAATCAATATTTAAATCCTCATCAATCATAACATTGATTGGAACACTAGGGGATATTGAAACAGTTTATTAATCCATGTTAGAAAATTTCTGATGATCATCTTTAAAATTTTTATATTTCTGTACGAAATATAAGTAAATATCTTTATCCCAATCTAAAATTTTTTGATTTTATCTAGTGCTTTAAACTATGAAAGAAACTAACAAGTTTATTATGCAAGTAATAAACTTAACTGACAAGTTGATATTTTTTTACTTAATTTAATACTGTGTTTTATTGAGACGGTATGGTGACTTGGTATAAATATAGGGTGTTTCATCATAACTAAAAGAATCAATAGATTCAGTTGGGACATTATAATAATTTTACGTGTATCCTCTAAAGTGTAAAATTCTTTAAATTTATAACTCCTGATTTTTTATATATTCAGTTACAGTGTTTTTCAATTGTATTATTCTAAAATCACCACCATTTTATATCTGTTGATGGCAAAATTTCGAAAATTCTACCTTAGAATGCTAAAACTTTACTATCACCACCGGTGCACTTTAATAAATGACGAAATTTGATTTAATTGTAGGTAGATACCTGTAGATAATATCTCTAGTTATCATATTGGCGTAATAAAGTGTGATTTCACATGTATGTGGATAAGTCTGCCACTTGCTGAACTTTCATTCATGTCTTCTTCACTAAAAGAAATCAATGTACGTTTCAGATTGATCTCTCTGATTAATATTTTATAACCTTACTCAACATATGACTTGTTAACCCAATATTGAAGAACCGTTCGAAGTATTAGTCCCCATCTCTTTAATAGGGTATCAAAATTTTCACCAGATTGGGATATAATATTTTGTGATCCCACCCATTTTTTAAATACTTTATATATATTATTATTGGGTGGCGAAAATAAGATGGTGTAGGCATTACTGTTTATCAGTCTTTGTGCATTAACAAGATAAACGTTCTTTTTGCTTGCGAGTATATTATGAAACATATTTATATTCCCATTTCGAACATTGCATTTGATGAGAACTCATACAATTGGTCAATCTTGTCTGCTAATTCCCAAATTATTGTTGCATCGGGATAGTGATGATAAATGTAATATAAAAGAAATAGACCAAAAAACGACTTTCTGATTCTGAGTGTACCAGTAATTATGCATTCATATTTGATCAAATTATGATGAATGAATTTCAAATAACAACTACGTATAAAAGGGTGTGATCTAAAGATAACGCTGCAATTACCAAAAAATGTCGCAATTATATTGCAACTCCCCTATGAAAAAAACTCATACAGTTTTTGTGTAGCTTTTGTGCCAAAAAACACTACAATTTTCGGACTGTGCAGGGTGCCAAAACATGAAATAACCCTAGTACCAGTACGTTCAAATTTTTAGCACATTTTTCCTACAATATCTGAATTAGGAAAATCGACTGTACTAATCAATAAAGTTTTTGTATGATTATTTCCTAGCTTAAGTTTATCATCAGATAGTATTTTTGTCTGCTCTGCAAGTTTACTTTGAACACGACACGAAGAAAGGTTTTAAAGCTCAGTTTGTTATTATTTGCAATTTTTGTAAAAAAGTAATTAATTTAATTTACCCACTTTTAGTAATATTATATTTTCCATACGTCGATAAAATACTAAACTATACAAAATCTGTAATCTTTAACTTTTCAATTTTAGCACTATTTTTATATATTTCAAATTTCAAATTTTTTTTCTGTACGATTTCTCTATGTTAAAATTTCTGTATAATTATTTTTGTATGGAAAATTGAAATAACTACATAAAAACTGTATGATTTCAGTACGAAACTTGTACAACAACATTTTTCATAGGGATCATGTCGCAGTTAATTAATTTATTAATGTTGCAATTAGGTTGCAACTCAAATGAAATTTAAAAACAATTATGAGAACCATCTTTAGTGTGATCCAAAGGTATGATTTCTAAAAAAAAACATCTTATTTGGCAAGCATAAAAATCCATCACAATTAAATTACTCTAATAAGTCATCAATTTGCATATGAACACTATCTTTCAAATATACGTATTTTTTATCCATAAGTTCATCATTAACAGTTAGTCTCAAATTAAATTCTAAATCTGATTTATTCTTGACTTCAAAGAGAGAATTATCCAATAACATATTTTGTGAATAGGATAGGTTAATTTTTACTTGAAAAGACCTTCTAAAACTCAAGTTTAGCGCGTTCTTCTATGGGAAAAATTATGAAAAAAGGAATAAGAAACAATAAGTAATCAACTGTAAAACTGCATGTATTTACCTTTATTTATGCTTTTATCTAGTTAGAAAAAAAGAAATGTTAGTGAGAGAATGCAAAATATGAAAGTAAACATTACTAAGGTTCTTACTTACTTTCTTTTTCTAAATCGATATATTTTTTTACAGAGATCAAAGTTAATAAATGTTACAATGGTATATCAAATAATAATGACTCGAAGCTTAGCGGTATCTGCGAGTTTTTTGAGGATAACATAAATTTTAGTGCTTTTTGCGACAATATTAAAAGCTCTTCATATGGTATCGATCTCATTTTCTAATTTAATCAATTAACAAGAGTGATATTCTTAATTTTATTATATTCAATGTCAATTTTCCATAATAAAAGTTATACAACTTTTAAATCTTCAGGAAGTTTTTTAGTGATGGTGAATAATATCATTAATTTCACCAATTATAATTTTGAAAATAACTTTATTTTTTTGATCAAAACATCAAAGTGTAAAAGATTTTCCTAGTATTGTAAAGATAGACATTTTGTTTGTATTAAAAGTAGTTTGAAAGAGTTTTGTTTTTTAAATAAAAAATGATAACAAAATAATTTCTCACATAAAGCCCCGAAATTAATTCATATCAGAATATCATTTATTGATATGTTTACTTGTTTGCTTAAGTTGTTTGTCTGATTCATTATACCAACACTAAAAAATATATGTTAGAAAGTTTTAATAATCAATAATATAAAAACTATATTATTTTAAACTTAGTTATTTGTACTATAAAATATTTTTTCTTCAGGTTTACTATTAATTAGGGAGCTATGGGAATTGATGAATAAAAATTTGAATCTATTATTGAGGCGTAGTAATAGGAGGAATAAAAAACAAACCATATAAAAATATCTAAATTATAATTAAATTAACAAAAAAAAAAATATAAATTCCCGAAAAATGTTTAAAAAAAAATAATCTGCAATAAATGATTTTATTTTGTAAATGATATTATCCGTAAATAACAAAAGGTTTATTATATAAAAATCCTACGACTCGAGGGAAAAAGTCCAATATTTATATAAATTTTCATGTCGGGTACCCCTTTGTACAACATTTTTAACTTTGATAATTTTGTTTATCAAAAAGAAAAAAATTAGTAAACCTAACCTTAATAGGGTGATTAGCAAAACAGAATTTGAATAAATTTTCTTAAAAAATACTTTCCATGTTAATTGCATCATTTTTGACAAGTTAATCGAAACGTTGCAAAATGTTGCGAAATATTTGTATATATTGCTTATTACATAAAGAATTTGAATTCAATTTTTTTTTTAATTATTAATCGAAAATTTTAGCTCATGTTCTGTCATTTTCCCCTTTGCGTCTGATTTTGAAAGCACACGTAACACATATTATTATGGCCAGTCTATAATAAAATTTAGGTACTTATTATTTAAGAAACGAAATGCCGGAAATGAGATTTTGCATACAGTATCAATAAAATGTCACCTCGCCTATAGGAATAACGGACTAGATTTTTTTATTTTTGATTTTTTTCGGATACGATGGGCACTACCCGTAAAGTTGCAAAATACAGTGACTTAAATACAATCCGTTTGATAAGAACAAGGGAATTTTGGTGAATATGTTTGAGAAACATTTGAAAAAACTCTTGTTAGAGTCAACAATGTTGGTAGCGTATTAATTTACAACAATGATACCGTTGTAAGGAACCGAAAAAAAATATAGATACACCGTCGGAATGTGGTCGTTTAAGTATCAATCTGCTATCCATGCAAATGCAGCTCATAATTTATCACGGTTCTTGATACGGTAGAATATTGCATGAATCACCAAATTCAAATGATTTGATTTTCAGCAGATCGTATCACCAAGTTAATTTAATATTGGCTTTAAAATCTTTCAACTCTTTCAACTTAAGTTATAATAACAATTGATCCCTTTAGTAGATTCCATCGATCACGTAAGAGGATTGTGCATCAGATACAATAATAGTAAGATCGGAAACACTGGATGCTCATGGATTGAAATGCGAAAAAAAAATGTATTTCGATTCCGGATGATATTTTGGGATCATCCAGGGTTTTATCCAAAAATAATCCCGGACTTTTGGTTAATTTCTTAAATCTCACAAGTTTTTTGTATGGATGAACCTTTTGGATAAATTCATCAGAAGATAAGCTAAAAAATCTAATTAAGGATAAACAATGTTGTAAGGTAATTCCATCATTTTGAAATCATTATCGGACCAAGTTAAAGAATCTGGAACGAGAGACGGATTTTTTTCAAGCCGCCTTTAAGTACATGCTCCCAAACTTCAACTTCCTTCAATTGCAGGTCATCTCTCTTGATAATTGAAATCAATGACTTTATAGAAAGCGAAGTAAAATTAGAAATAATATCTGTACAGAAAGTTTGAAGCTTTAACAAAGAATTAATTTTAAACTTGTTCTATAAGTGAGTTCAAAATGTTGTTCGATCCATCAGATTAATTTTCGATTAAATAATTCTGTAAATATTCAATTAGTTCTTGAAGAAGAAATTCACCAGCAGCTGCCAAATATTTAATATTTTTTGTTCTTCACCATTAAATGAAATGATCCCACCATAAATGTATCAATATTATAAAATTTTGGGGTTATTATAAATGAACAACATGAAAATAAGAGAACACAGCTTTAAATATATAACTTTACTATAATTCAAAATAACTCGAAAGATTTCTATGGTAATTTAATATGGGTTAATACGTTATCGTTACTTTCCTTATTGGAAGCCAGGGTTCGTCGCATTGGACCTTTTCCAACTTCGATTTTAATATCATAATATTCATAATCATCTAATATATCAATATAGTTTTGACTTAACTTGGGAAAAAATTGTGCTGACATTCTCTTAAATAAATTGTAAAATTGGAAAGAGAGAAATTTGCAATCCTATTGATCGAAATAAAAAACTAGCCTAAAAATTTGAATAGTGACGATGTAGTTTATCATTAGTGCGACTAACCTTATTAAAAAAAAAGATATATAACCAGTAATTCAAAAAAGACAAAATAAGCGTTAGAATTAAATAATTTAGCTTAAAAATAAGGTATTAGGTTCGTTCGAATAAAATATTTTTTTCTTGGAATTTGCAACCTTTTCTTCTTTAGGTTCCTCGTCCCGGTGGTTATTTTTTTATTTCACTTTGAAACTTTACAACAGATATAATTTGCGATTAGGCCGGCCAAAAAAAATTTTTAGATTCTCGTGACATAAAATTTTAAAATTGACACTGTCACCTGGTTTTTATTTTTTATATATAAATTTTTTTATGTACTTTATATTATATGGGTTGTCTGTTATTAAAATTGAGATATGAGACATAAGTAAATCATATAATCCGTGCCTCAATTTTAATAGCACACAACCCATATGTTAAATTTTTTATAATATAAAAAAATTTTGTAAAAAATTGAGGCGGCCGGGTCACGAGAATCTAAAAATTTTTTTAGGAAGGATTTTTTTTTTACATTATATTATTTTAATTTATATATTTTTCCTAGGTTCTTTTTCGGACTGCTACTGGGCTTTTATATTTTTTTTTATATTTTTTAATTTTATTTTATCTTGTTTCAGGCTGGATTTTTTTTAGGCAAATTCTTTCGGGTACAGAAATTATTGCAGTTTACTTTTTTATCTTTTCATTAATTTTGTTTGATTTTTTTTTATTTTTTTAGCGTTATTGGTCGCAGCAATTAATATAAGGTTGGCATGTGTATTATTTGTTTCATTTTTTAATTTAATTATTTTTCTATTTAAATTTTAGCTTTGCTTCGGGTCGTAATCACCTAATATCCATTTATAGAATTTTACAACAATATTTTTTACAATAATAAATAATTATATCGTATTGTTCTAACCATGCGATATGCAGATCTGACATCAATGGTTGTACATTAACTAAACAGCTTTATATGGAACCTTTTTTAAAAAATATTACTTGTATTGAATTTCGAACTTGATATTTCCCATTTAAAATTTTTTTGTTTAAAAATTTAGCTATTATCCCTAATTAAATATCTTAGTAAATTAGGGTTTATATTCAAAATATTTATTTATTTAGCTCAATAATGTCAAAAACTGAAATTGGTGAAGAGACAGAAAAGAATTTTGAAAAAGTCTTTTATTGGTGTCAAAAAGCTGCTGAAAGAGATCATGTAGATGCAAAATTCATTCTTGCATTTATGTATTATGGAGGAAAAGGAACAAAAAAGAATTTTGAAAAGGCCTTTTATTGGTGTCAAAAAGCTGCTGAAAGAGATCATGTAGATGCGCAAGTCATTCTTGCAAATATGTATTATGGAGGAAAAGGAACAAAAAAGAATTTTGAAAAGGCTTTTTATTGGTATCAAAGAGTTGCTGAAAGAGATCATGTAGGTGCGCAAATCATTCTTGCAAATATGTATTTTGAAGGAAAAGGAAAGGAAAAGAATTTAGAAATGTCAATTTACTGGTACAAAAAAGCTATAAAAAATAAAAATATAAAATCAGATTTTTATGTATTGAATAAGATTTCATCAATAAAAGGATTTTTCATTGAATTGGAAAATGATATTTATAATAGATGCAATAATTGTTTTAAAAAAAGAAGACATTTAAAAGAATATCAAAAAAATTGTATAATTTGT